GGTAAGGTAGAGCTTCCGATGAATATAAATGCTATACCGGTAATCAGGGTTATTAAAACACACCACGAAGTGTTGGACGTAGCGCGTTCAGTGAACACGCTCAATGAACACGCTGCGTCCAAACTTCCTTGTGTCTTAATGATCCTCAAGACTTGTTGACCTCGTGACCCAAAGTGACGCGACCATCATCGTGTCAGGCCTGTAATAAGAGTGAGAACTGTGTAGATTTTTGTGAGTTGGTGGAAAGCTCCGCCGGTTGACAGCTTGCAACCGCCCTGAGCTTTGTCGAATATTATTATACTACTTCTTGTGCTGTATCGAGCACCCTACGTGTCTTCGGACAGCGTACTATAACAGAACGAAGTAATACGTACTACCAGTATACGTTGGTAGTTGGCATGGGGCCAACGGGTCCTTTCAAAGGACTGTTAAATGACTGTTGACAGGATCGTAGAATCGACGAACTTGGCAAAGGAGACAACAATTCAAGGACTTCGCCGGAGGAAGAGCAAAGGATCTCATACCTGCAAGGGCACCTAGTGCTGCAACTCGAAGCACAGCATTTGTCAAACGCGTCCTCGCAATGGCCTTGTTGCTGGCAGCACGTGACGATGTCGATATTTTTGTACGAGTATTTCTCTCCACAGGATGGCTCACAGACCCTCAGCGGTTGCGCGCTAATAGCGGCGAAAAGTGCGACCACAACGTGAATGGCAAATGATCTTGGAGTTATTATTGCAAGTTGACGGGTAAGTAGGTGGGCGTTTCATGTAAAATTTGAAAGTGATGAACTGGAGCAATCTTCAGCATGGACTTCAAAGTGGATGTGACCATTCCACGTCTGCACTAGATGTCGATACAGTCGTCGACAGACTGTCGACGAAACTTTTACCTTGTGAAATGTCGATTACCGTATCCAAAGCTGGCAAAAAAATGGTTTATAGGATATGCTGGGGTCTATGTCAAGTACCAGTGTACTGAGCCAACAAAATTTTCTTTTCGACTGTGTCTGCGTACTTACAGCGCGAGGTTCGGTTACTTGTACATTTTCCTTATATTTTGACGAAGAAATTTGGTTTGTCAAAGGAGGTGATGGAGCTGGTGCAGGAAGGCATGCTATCTCCACACGGTCTTACGAGTACTGTGGACAATATGAGGAGAAGACGGGAAAAACGGTACTACAAGTTGCTATCGCTATTTGCTGATCGAGTACGGCAGAACCAACTTGGCAATCCGACGTATATGGCACCGAATCCACCGATTATCGCCCAATACTGCTCGAAACAAAACCCAATTGGGCCGGATACACTGTCTGCAGCGTGGTTATAGATTTCTCAAATTTGTAGTTCTGTGTGTGAGGTGATGATGCGTCGCCTCCAAGTTAAGAAGGTACTACGCATCGACCACTCAGTAAAGTTTTGTAAGCGGCTCAAGGTTTGGCCTGGAGGCACAGGTAAAAGGGAGAGCATGAAGGACGCAAAGATGTTGCTACTTTTTCAGAACGAGATTGGACAAATTATTGGCCGCAGACTAACCCGCTCAGAAAACAACGAAGAAACGCGAGCATTATTTGAGCACGTTAAGAGCGTTGTTCATACCGACACTGGTGGCGAAGAGCAGTTCGTTGTAAGTGATAACGCAAATGCGGTTTGGAGCATGGTTAGTGACGTCTTTGGAGCTGGTGTTGGTGTTCGCCAAGATCCTTTCCATGTCGTTCAGCGCTTCACTGAAAAAGTTAAAGACAAGACCGAGAAAAAACTTTTGGCCAAGCGATTGCACGACTCGATTTATGATGTTGACGGATGTCTACGCTCTCCAGCTCAAATGTCCGAGCGTATTAAAGAAGCTGTGGGCTCTGTTTCGTCCAGACACCTCAATTGCAG